TAATAATAATAATAATAATAATAATAATAATAATAATAATAATAATAATTGAGTCACCTTAGATTATTGCTTTATTAAAAAGTCTGTTGGATCCATACAGTACAATCTTTTGGCATCAACCAAGAAATTAATGTCATGTTTTCTGTAATGCGTTTTCATTTTTACTATTTTATTATTTGATGCACTTCAGCTGGATGGCACCTGATCCAGCTGCTTACTACTCCGATAATAGTTAATAATAGTTAATAATAGTTAATAATGTGTGATGTACACCATTTTCAATAGACTTCCTTCAAGTTACATTTGTAATCAAAAAATACTTCAATGGTTTGATAAAGTGTGAAAATGTTTTGCTTCTCTTTCACTTTCTCATTAGTTATTTTCCTTATTTATATGTATTTATTTATGTTGAACTGTATTTTTTACATTTGACTATCTCATTTGGAGTAGTGGACAAAGTAACTAGAGAAAATTTGTAAGTAATGATCGAATGTCAGCTGTGTGGCTGTTTGTCTCTGTGTGGTTTCAGTCAGAGTTAATTAGTTGTCACAATATAATAGTATAAAATGAAAAATCAAAGCCCAGACACGCTAACATCTGTATTTAAGAAAATGTACATTCTTGAAAATTACCAACCGTTTCAGTGTCACTTTCACAGAAACCTTCCCAAAAAAGTAAATAAATAAAAGTACAGCTGAGAGTTTTATGGTTTAGCTCGAGGGAATCTTAAATTTGAAGGATTTGTGATATAATTAGTGACGTATTATTTCGACATAATGTGAAATTGGAAGAGAAGCTGTTTAGTTTAGCAGGACCAGAGGGTGACACTGGGAAAATTGTGATAGTAATATTAACTTCGGTATTTCTCATTGCCTACAGCTCGCACATGTTGTGGCAGTTTATGAAAACAATTATTTGCTAGACGTGCAAAGAATAGATACAACCAGAACTACGTTTTGCCAGAATGATGCAAAGCCACATGCATGTACTGTCTATGAAATTTTACCCCCAAAAAGATGTTTGTCAGATTCATAGCTTGTTGAAAAAAGTATATATATATTTTTAAGTAGATTTTAGAATACCTCCAAAGATGGTGTACACACACTCAGAGATCAGCCATAACAACAAATAAAAAACAACTGCCAGGTAAAACGAGTAAGACTGCTGTTCCAGTTTCAATGCAGGATTCTGAATCTTAGCGTTCAATCAACCGTTATTTATACAGGTAAATCCCATTGAGCCTCGAGGACTCATTTACAAGAGAGACCTGATTTCAACAAAGAAAGATGACAACAATGGACAACAGCAACAACAATATTAGCAATATTATCAATCAACCTTTAACCCTTGACACCGTTCGTGTCAGATGTTTGTCTGATACATGCCAGCAGCATAAGCAGCCTAAACTGTCATAAACATTTCTGCAGACTAATCATACCCCCACATGGCAGCAACGTTTGCCTCCAGAAGCATCCCTTTTTCAGCAGGGCAGCACTTGTCCTCAAAAAACACTTAGATATGACCCAAAGTACAAACTCCAAAGATTTCCATCTGGTTGACTCTGATGGCATCTGACGGGTGCCCACATGGTGTACGGCTAAGGCACTGGTCGCAGACTCACCAGGAACCTCCAGGATGTTCTTCGTCTGTGTCTTACATTTCCAAAGTTGTTCTGGCAATTTGGGTAGGGCTTATTAAATTTCAGCTGGACTGCTATAAAATTATGGCTGATTGATGTATGTTTGAACCTATAAATGTTGGGATTTTCAGAGTTTTACTCAAAGAAAAAATAAAAATAAGGTTGACAGCTGCATCATTAATCTCAGTTTCTCAGCAATGTTTTTAGTTTAAAATGTCAGTATGTTACCATATCATACTATACGATACTATACGATACTATACGATACGATACGATGCGATACTATACTATACTATACTATACTATACTATACTATACTATACTATACTATACTATACTATACCATACTTTAACATATCATGCCATAATATACCATACCATACCAATTCATTTATAAAGCACTTAAAAACAGCAACATGGCCAACTAAAGTACTGTACAACAAAAACAAATAAGCAAATGATAAAGGATAAAATATATAGATCCAAATAGGTAAAGATAAAAACTAAATGACTAACATTATAGAACATAGACAAGTTAAAATCAACTCACACAGTGTCAAAGGTCAGGGAATAAAAGTGAGTTTTCAAACGAGACTTAAAAACAATAAGAGAGGGAGCCTGTCTGTCATGCAGTGTTAACTCGTTCCACAGTTTTGGACCTGCAGCAGAGAAAGCCCTGTCACATGTGAGCTTAAAATGAGTGCCTGGACCCAATAGAAGCATCTGGTCTGCTGACCTCAGAGAGCACTGTGGGACATATGGCTGCAGCAGATCAGTGAGATAGAAGGAGATATTGAGTAAAGCCACAATGTAACTATCAGTAAGGTAGCTTTACGTATTAGTTATTACATGTATTTGCTTTCTCTACGCAACTCAAATAACAAACAGACATTAATGTTTATATTACCCATGTTATATATCTGGGAGATTGTGGTGTAACAAGTTAAAACTCAATAAACCAGATTTACTATATGTTGTTTTAATGTTTATTTCTGGATGGGCTGACACCTGATTTGAAAAAGCTACTGAAGTCTAAAGGTGCCATCAGGCAAAATGTCAAGTTTGTTTTGTATCTTTAACCTCCAGCTTTAAAGCTGCACAAACTAATTAGTTATTTAAATATATAGTTCAGATCTTTTGAAGTGGGGTTCTGTGGAAACAGACCAAACTGCTGCAGTCAAAATAACTTAAACAAAAAAAAAAAATCTTACTGTCAGTTTCATATTACTGTACATGTTTGCTTTATATACCGCTGTGATTATTTGCAAGCACAAATAATAGCAGCAACAGAAGCAAGCTATAGCTCTTTCATCACAGCCTGGGGGTCCATCTTGCAGGCGTTTTATGGTATATTTGTAGGAATGGTCAACAATGTGACATCAACGTAAAGATTGATTGTACACATGAACTGGTTTGAAAGTTTGGAGACTGGAGCTTTGGGTCTTGGCCTCGTTCTGACTAGCAATTAGCTTGTCAAGCTGGTCTTAACTCTGTTGCTCTAAACTGAGATCATTCAAAGAGCTATTTACAAAGTAGATAATAACTGTTCTTCACCTTTCCAGAGAACCACAAGTTAAAAGATCTGAACTATTCGTGTAGGGTGCAGACAGTAATAGTAATTTAAACATTTGACCTACTTTAGCATGAAGCTGCTGATTTATATGTTAAAGATTATTTTTAATTTTTACTTATGTTAGAAAAAACAGAAAATGACCTAATCCAGTCTTTCATCCTGAACTGGGAATAGGCTAAAATCTATTCTTTGATGAAAGCCGAACAATAATCTGCAGCTCAAAGCCTGCAGTCAGTTGCAGGTTCTGCTTTTTGATGACGCTTCAGATAGTTTCTGCGATGAGCTTTGGGAAAGAAATGGTAATGTGATCTAACTTTGGCTGAACTGACTGAAGCAAGAGCAATAATAGGTCACTTCTCTTGCTTCGGGGGAAACTTGGACCTGTACTTCCTGCTGCTGGGAGAAATGATTGGTATGATATTCCTGATTGAGTATATGTGTGTGCGTGTGTGTGTGTGTGTGTGTGTGTGTACCTTTGCCTTGGGCCAAGTTGCGGTTGAAGCCCAGTGGACTGACAAACTCAAAGAGAAAGACTGCGATGGCTGTGACAATGAGCAGCATCACAAACATCATCACCCAAACGGATGCACTGAAGGGCTCTACGAATAAGGAGGAGAAGAAGACTCAGTTAAAACAAAATTGAGTCCTTGAGACAGAGAGACGTTGAAGAGGAGCAGGAGATGCGTGAAATAAAAAGGAGTGGGGAAAACACACACACACACACACACACACAACACAGTTGAGGGGGGAGAAACAAAAAAATATGATACAAAGAAGAGAGTCAGTGGGAGGGAGAGTTAGTCACAGAGAGCTTGACAGCACACATTTCCATATTTTTCATTATTCCCTCGGATGGGAGCTGAGAGGAGGAGAAGCTTGGGGCAGGGGGGGAAGACGATGGAGAAAAACGGGGAGAGACAGAGGTGGGAGAGGCGAGAATCAAACTCTTGGTGATCTGATGTGCCCTGCTGTGGGCATGTGTATATGTGATGTATTTGTATGAGTCTGTGTTTGGTGAGGACCAGGGCAGGAGTTCAGAGTAGGATCAGTGCCAGAGACCCAGACAAGCTGTATGTGTACGTGCGCGCACGTGTGTCACTGCATGCGTAAGTGTGTGACTGCCAGAGTTAGCCAACCCTGAGAGATTGCGCGCTGAGGTGCCTCTAATATGAGCGCGAGAGATACTGAACCATCACTGATACCCTGGACCCCCCCCCCCCCCCAACACACACACACAAACAGCATTCAGCCCTGAACATAAACACGGCCACATTCTCCACTCGACTCGATACACAAGTGTCCCCATATATTAACACCGCATCACACAAACTTCATTTTTTTAAACTTTCTTTACACACAGGAGTTCTGACACATGGCTCGATACAGAGGGACCAACACACACATGGTCCAATACACCTCCCTCGCTCTCTGTCGCGCTCCAGTGACAATACAAGACATTAGGCAAGCATGGAGGAGCGCTTCGGTTTCTAGTCATCTCAACAACTGGAAAAGAAGAAAAGAAAAAAAAAAACAGCTGGCATGCTCCACTTGCGCTGCTCTGGTAGAAATATTAATGTGCTCAGGGTGTTGAGGCCTACATAAAGTCAGAGTACAAGTGGAATTTGGCCAGCCCTTACAGTCTGAATAAAATATTCCGTTTTATGTTCGGGGTTTTGCCAACATGTAAGCACCTCCCTGTCATTGTGCCCCTGATAGTCTGCTCAGTGGGGGGGGGGGGGGGGGGGTTTCACAGTTATGGGGAAAAAAAGAGGAGAGAAAATGATGAAATTCATATTTGAGGAAAAGATTTACCAAGAAAGGCAGAAGGCGAGACGGTTCCGTTGCTTCGTGACACCATGACGCTGATTCCGGTTTCAACAAAGGGCACAGAGAAGTCAATGGCCTCTGACCTCTCTTCATTGATGGTCAAGGACCCAACAGCCATGATGGCCTTCTTGTAGACCACCTGACAAATGGACAAAATCATAGTTACACCGAGTCCACGATTTACCGCCATAAATGGCAGACACAAATAAAGTCAGTGCTAAATATTTGAAAAAGTTCATATCTTTTGAGACGCTCCTCCTAGTTTTATTTTAGATGTAAAATATCAAAATAACTCTGGGTGTACCATAAAATGCCAGCCATAGTTTAGTTTGAGGGCACTTTCAGCTGTATCAAATGGAACTACAAGTCATAAGGCTATCTTTCTGTGCAGTGCTGACATTTCTGTCAGAACGCATCCAGACAAACAATGTTTAAGAGCCTTTCTACTCTTAATTTGACTTTTTATGTAAGCGATGTCATGTCTTTTAAAATTTAATAATATAAAAATGTCAAACATCCTTGAAAGCCTGAATAAACATTACCTCAAAAATGGATCAAAATGTAAGATTTCATTATCAGTTTTGACGTTGATAGCTTAAAAAAAAAAAGAATCTGTGGTTGAATAAATTATTTCCAGAAGAAGAAAAAGAAAAGTAAATAAACAGTCTTTGCGATCCGCTGAATTCATTTCAAACCTGGGTCCAAGTGGTAAAAGGAAAAAAAATAAAAAATACATGAACTTTATGTCAAAATGTAAAAATTAATAATGTAAAGTATCAATATTTATATATTAAATATATATATGTATAAAAAACATTAATTAATTATACATAAATATATAAAGTCAAGGTTCTTTATTGTCATTCGCAATTGCAGTATATGTATATGTACAGTAGTCCCTCATTAGTTCGTGGTTCGTTTATTGCGGACTCGCTCTATCGCGGTTTTTCAAAATAAGATTGGACATGACACACAACTGGATGATTGATGATGAGCCGCACGATCGGCACAGCATTTTTATTTAAAATAAATTGTTTTAAATTATTTAGCACCTCCTGCACCTTTGTGCAGCCCAGAGCTGCAGGATAAATGTCCTGCTGAAGCTGATCAGCTGTTCACTGTGCAGAGCTGTGAAGCGGGCGTGGCCAAGAGCGCTTGCAGGTGGCTGAGAGCAGCAGAGGCAGAGAGAGGGAAATCATGACATTCTGTTCTCTGATAGAGCGTTTAGAGTTTAGAAACTATTGTTTACCATACCATACCATTTTATTTATAGAGCACTTAAAACAGCGACAAGGCCAACCAAAGTGTTGTACAGACAGAAAAACAGTAAATCAGAATATAGACATAAAAACGATGCAGATAATAAATATGACGACTAACCAGTGTGAAGCAAACAGGTTCAAAACAAAGATCATCTGGTGTTGAAAGCTACGGAATAGTAGTGGGTTTTTAAACGGGATTTGAAAACCGAGAGAGAGGGGCTTGTTTGACAAGCAGAGGTAACTCGTTCCAAAGTCTTGGTCCTGCTACAGAGAAGGCCCTGTCACCTCTGTGCTTAAGACGAGTTCCTGGAACTGTGAGAAATAACTGGTCCGCTGACCTCAGAGAACGTGGTGGGACATATGGCTGTAGCAAGTCAGAGAGATGGGGGGGAGGGGGGGTGAAACTGTTCAGTGATTTGTAGACATACAGGAGTATTTTGAACTGGATTCGAAGGTGAACTGGTAACCAGTGCAGTGAGGCCAAAACTGGTGTAATGTGCTCTCTTTTGCCTGTACTGGTTAAAAATCGGGCTGCTGCATTCTGGACAAGTTGTAGTCGTGCAATTGAGGTCTGACTGATACCAAACAGGAGCGAATTGCAGTAATCAAGCCTAGATGTAACGAATGCATGTATTACTGTTTCCAGGTTATTTTTGGACAAAATGGGTTTCAGCTTAGACAGTCGCCTCATTTGGAAAAAAACAGGATTTAACAATCATGTTTACATGACTGTTGAGTTTCATAGAAGGGTCCATTATCACTCCCAGATTTGTGACTCTTTGTTTTTCTGACAGGGTTAGAGCGGAGAGGTCGATGCAGTGGATCGTGATCATGTCGTTGGGAGGGAACAACATGACTTCAGACTTCTTTTCATTGAAACTTAAGAAATTTTAAGCCATCCAGTCCCTAATGTCAGCCAGGCAGTCGAGCAGAGGATGAATAGAGCATGTGCCATTGTGGCTTAGAAGGAAGTAAATTTGACAGTCATTGGCGTAGAAGTGAAAGGGTATGTTGTGTTTCCGGAAAATAGCACCAAGTGGTAGCAGGTATAAAGAGAATAGGAGGGGACCCAGGATGGACCCCCTGCAGAACACCCCATTTAAGGTCTGCCGCTGCAGAACCAAAATCTTTGATGGAAACACAAAAAGATCTGTCAGCGAGGTAAGATCTGAACCAATTGAGGGCTGACCCTGTGATGCCCACCCACTGCTCCAACCTAGAGATGAGGATCTCGTGGTCAATAGTGTCAAAAGCGGTTGTGAGGTCCAATAGGACAAGTGGCACAGAATCACCAGTATCTGTGGATAAGAAGATGTCATTAAAAACCTTCAGTAGGGCAGTTTCAGTGCTATGAAGAGGTTTAAAGCCAGATTGGAATAGCTCTAGGATAGCGTGATCCTCCAGGAAGCACTTCAACTGGGACTCAACTATTTTCTCCAGTAGTTTAGAAACAAATGGGAGTCTGGAGACAGGCCGGAAATTGGATATGACTGAGGGGTCAAGGTTTGTTTTTTTCAGGAGAGGTTGAACAGCAGCATGTTTAAAGGTTTCTGGCACCAAGCCAGTGGATAAACTGCTATTCACAATAGCAAGACTAGACGGACCTAGAGTAGGAAAAACCTCCTTTAGTAGTCGAGAGGGGACCACATCAAAAGGGGAACCAGAAGGTTTCAAGCTGCACATGACCTGCTCTAGCGAAGACAGAGAGATGGGCTCAAAATGGTCAAATAGAGCTACAGATTGAGGTGGGATGGATGGGTCATGAGTTGGAGGGGAAATGAGAGCCCGGGTGGTCGCAATTTTTTCTAAAAAGAAATGTAGGAAGTTCTCGTACAGCTCAGTCAAGGCTTCCAGAGGTGATGGTTCAATGAGGTGGAGAACAGAGTTTAGGGTAGAGAAGAGGACACGCGAATTGTGAGAGTTTGAGGGAATGATATCAGAAAAGCATCTAGATTTAGCAGCTTTTACTGCTTTCTGATAACGACGTCAACTCTCTTTTAGTATTTGAAAAGAGACCTGCAGCCTGTATTTCCTCCATTTGTGCTCCGCACTCCTGTACTGTTGTCTAACGGCCTTGGTAACGTCATTCAGCCATTGGTTCTGATCTGAGTCTAAATTTTCTAGTTTTTACAGGAGCAACATAATCCCGAACCTTTAAGCAGACAGAGTTGAACACTCAGTGGTGGTGAGAAACACCGGGGGCTGAATTATCACTTCAGAGTTATAAACATCTGTGAAACGTGAGGCAGTGAAGTGGTTAATGGCCCTGCTACTACATGCAGGAGCGCACGGCTTAGAAGTAAGACTGAGGAGGGTGAACTCAAACCGGACTGGCATGTGGTCTGAAAACACATCACCGATTTCAAGTATACTAACAGTCACATCACGTGTTAAAACAAGGTCCAGTGTATGTCCATGCTCTTGGATGGGACCGTTTACATGCTGAGTTAGATTAAATGAGTCCAATAAATCTAAAATGTCCTTATCAAGGGTTTCTCATGACAGCACACATGTAAATTACAATCCCCGATAATGAAAACATGATCATATTTTGGTGTGATTTCAGCTAAGAAATCAGAAAATACAGACAGCTCGGTGGCAATAATACCGTTAAGGCGCTGGACTCACCCGGAGACATCCAAGTCTCTGTGATGCGGAGAAAGTCCAAATCGTGCTCTTGAAAGTAATCCTTGAGGATAAAAGTTTTGTTGGTAACAGATCTTGCGTTGACCACACACATCCTGATATTGTCCAAGATAGACCCAGCAGCGGTGGAGGGAGCGCGTGCCTGCGGCCGCAGATTTTCCATAACAGCCCCTCCAGGTCAGCCTGTGCGCCTCGCCGGCCGACAACTCCCGTTGTTTACCTGGTCTGGGAAGCTGGTGATGGAAACCATGACTACCAGCCGGAGAGAAAGATGTAGCATGCAGGGCTTTAAGCATTACCAGCCGGCCAGCTCAATTTTCCTCCGCGTCTGGAACGATATCTCTGGGCAGGCAGGTGAGGAGCGCAGCGAAGGTAAACAGGCACTTCCGCCAGCAGCGGGGGA